GGCTTTTTTACGACTTTCTTTCATTGGATTGTTACAATGATATTCCAAGCACTTTTAAGACTCTCATTCGAATTCAAGGTATCTATCTCGTGCCCCATTAGGATTCTACATTACATCGGACTGTTACATCTGACTCAGTACCTCACACACTTTTAGAATTCCCTTTTATTAGATTGTTACGCTGATATCTCGCGGGTTTTCAGGACTCTCTCTCATTGGATGGTCACGCTAGTATCTTGCGTATTTCTAGAATTCTCTTTCATTTGATTGTTACGTATTTATCTCGCAAACTTTTGATATTCTCACTCTCTGAATTGTCTCGTTAGCCTGTTAGTATCTCGTGCATTTTTTTAGGATTCTCTTTCATTCGAGTTACGTTAGTATCCCACACACTTTTAGGATTCTCTTTCATGCGATTGTTACTTTGGTATCTCACGCACTTTTAGGATTCTCTTTCATTGGGTTGTTTCGTTAGCACCTTACTCACTTTTAGGATTTTCTTTTATTGGGTTGTTACGTTAGCACCTCAATCACTTTTAGGATTCTCTTTTACAGGATTATGTACATACCTGAGGCACTTTTGGGATTCTCTTTCATTGGATTGTTACGTCAGTATATCACGCACTTTTAGGATTCTCTTTTATTGGATTGTTACCTAAACACCACAACAGACAGAGGCTTGTTTTGGGACCAGACAGTTTATTAAATGTATATGTCCTACGTAAATAACACACTAGCGGTAATACTAAAGTAATTTCGCAATTAAAACGCGTTAGCGTAGTGAATAGCCATTGGCTCTACCCAAGTCTTATGACTTATATGCTGAATAAATTGCTCAATCTTAAAGAAAAGAGAAAATACTTATTTGCACCCTGTGTGTACCCAGTCCAGGCCCCTCAGTTATCGAAGTCTAAATTCATATTAATAGAGATTAATATTCACGTTAGTATCTCATGCACTTTTAGGATTCTCTTTCATTGGATTGTTACATTTGTATCTGGCGTACGTTTAGCATTCTCTTTCACTCGATTGGAACATTAGTCCTTCGCCTACTTTTAGCATACTTAACATAGATCAAAGACAAAAACGTCTTGGATCTCGAGGGAATCATTAGGATGATGGCAAAAACTGCCAACGAGGAATTTCACGACAACTTTCAAGACACCTGAGTAAGGGTGATCTCAGTTGAGATTTTATCAAAAGGCAGGAATGGTGCGTAGAGGCGTGTACAAAGACAAGTTATAACGTTACGTAACGTTTTTTTCTCAACGCCACACTCTTGAGAAAAAAATATATTTATTCAAACTGCCTGCTAGAGGCGAAAATCAGTGAAAATAAAGATAGACTGAGCATTTTTTTGTAAGACCAGTTTCCCATTCTAAAGTTTCTAAAACTGTTGTTAGCAAGCGGCTTAAATAGAGATGTTCTTTAAATTGTTTGATGGTTGATATTGATTTGAGTTTTTGACGGTTGACGGTAAAAATAGATGCTTTTGACGGTTTTCATCAATCAATTTCCCTTTCAGATCAAATCATTTTTAACCTTTGTGAGTTTTTCTCCGCATCTTCCGAGGCCAATAAAAACAGGTGAGTAATATATGAATCATATCAAGTATTGTAAATAACAACAAAAATAATGGTAATGATAAAGATAGTATCCATTTTAAAATAGGAGTCTTGAGTCTACCCTTTTGATCAAGGTGACATTGGTCACTAGACAGAAAACTCCCGATCTTGGTGAAACTGAAATGAGTCCCATTTTCAGCTCTAAGCTTTCCTACACTTGCTTCCAATCATTTCTCAAATTAAATGGTCTCTTATAGATCGCTGATTTCTCTCAGCCCCCTATGATCCTTCTTATTAGAAGAATGCGGAGAGAAATAACTCCTAGACTGCTTTAAAGGCTTAGAAGGTAGAGCAGTATCTAAACTTTATGGAGATAAAAGGGTTTGAATTATTCTTTCAGCTTCCTTAATTAAGAAAAGTATTATTTAATTGTTATTAAATCCAAATCGGTAGTTGCTCGATTGATTACTACCAGGAGGAGGGCGAAAGGAAGATGAACTTATAAAATGCTGCTTAAAATGTCATTCTAAAAGTTATGACCCGAGTTCTCTCAGACTGTTTAATCAAGTAAGTGTTTTTTATGTGGTTAGTTTGTTTCAAGTAAGCATCATGAGGAAGTTTTAAAGTGAAATGTATCTCGTAGTCGGGCTGTATTAATCGTAGCCTTTGTATGGCATTTATTTTTCTCTAATTCAGTAAAGTTGTTTTCACCATTTTATTATTGTTTTTCCGAAGGTAAGCTTCTTGACTTGTTATTTTCCCTACCCTCTTAACCGTACTGCGTTAATATTATAAGAAGAAATTAAACGCTATTCACTCTCGTTTGTGTATAGTTATTTATTGCGATCTTAGCTCGAAAACGTTAAGATTTTGTTTAAATTTCGCTTTAAATTTTGATAAATTAACCCTAACGTAACTAAGAAATCTACGAAAGGATCGGTTCGCTGTGAAGTAGTCTAAAGCTTCTTGTGAGATGCTTATGCAACTTGCTCTGATGACGCAAACTAGATTACGTATAGACCAAATCTTGCAAAAATTTTGAATGTGTATAGATTGAAACGTTTTAACTGACACTAAGTTTACTTTTTATATTTATGTGTGCTCTTTAAATTTTCTGACTAAAGATGAAGCTCTAAGTCTTGTTAAATTGAGGCCCACGATATATTTCCCTCAATTTTAAAACTTAAACTTTCTGTAGCTGAACTGCAGCCAGCCTTGACAGATTTCGTAAAACTTCTGTAAATGCAGGCGTCGAACGAACCAGATAGCAAAAAAGGTCTACTCAAAGCCGAGTTGGAAAGCATATTTGAAAAACCCTAACCGAAAGTGGCGGGTAGTTATCGAGTAGTGGTTAGCAATAAAGAGAACGACGTCGCTGATCTTCATCTTACATATTGTTTATCAGTATCCACGACGATCATTTTCTATGATCTCTAGGCCTCCCCCCCCCCAGAAAAGCGTCGTTGAAATTGGTAAAATTCTTAATGTTTGATTGCTTAAAACGTACTCTCCAGTTGTTTTTCGAAATATCGAAATTGTCTACAGTAGTTGCAACGACGCTCTTTTACTTTCTTCAAACAAGCAGAAAAGACGCCATTCCTCCGGGGACATTGAAGAAAGTTATCGAGCAAGCACACGGTGAGAAAAAAAATAATTTTATTTTCATTAACGAGCAAGTCTCAATCGATTTCTACGCATTATAGTGAGGCGTACCAATGTAAGCGATTACAGGTGAAAAAATAGAGAATGACGTGGAAGTGAAAGCGGGGCATTCGTTTTAAGTGTTCAACTTACGTCCGTATATGTGCAGTTTCACTTCTAAGTAGTATGTGTATGACTTCTACTCTGAGCAAGCAAGAAAGGATTAATTATACTCTCTTGGACCTAGCCATCATCGGAGTTAAGACCAAGTAAGCCTAAAACCGTCCGGAATTAGTTTCCACGGCGCAAATATAGTTAGCATGCTTATTGCGTGACAAATTAGATTTGATGCACCAGCGTGGGAAACTGAAGGCCAGGAAAAAAGCTATGCCAATATTTGCGCATAGAGTGACAGCTTGTAGATAATTTGCTTGATATGTAAAATGAAAATCTTTCAGGTTATACTCGATGAACTGAAACGAAAATCAGGATAGTTTCATTACTCATCATGAATGGTCACGTACACTGCGCGCCGTGAGCCTTTCGAAAGTAAGTCAGTCCCGGAAGTCAGTAAACCACACGTCCCAAAAGTCAACAAACCATAGCAGTTTCGAAATGTTGACACTGGTCTCAGGTGTTTCTTAATATCTTCTTCAAACAAAAAGAACCTAAATTTGTTTCGAGTGTAATTCGTCATGGCATCTTGCAGCTTTTCGTCGTTATTTAAGCTAACATCGCCATGCGGATCAAGCTCAAAAAATCTAGAAGATTTGCAGGGTGTTTCTCTTAACGAATATAATAAGGAGGTTTACTCACATAAAATTGGACCGGATGAAGCAATTTGTGACGAAATGGCGTTGTTGCTAGCAAGAGCAGGCACAGTTTCTCGTTTAAATGATTGAACACTTTCTTGTAGTTTTATTTTGTACTAAAATAAATTCTGATTGGTTTATGTGACTTAAATTTTAGAAGTATGTACAGCTGAAAGTTCCCATTTCAGGGTCGTAACGAGGTATATTCTTTCGTCGCTGATCCCGTATTTTTATGCAAATTTTTAATCCCTGATCCCAAAACGAAAGAAAATTTTGATCCCTGATCCCACAAAATTTTGTTGATCCCAGTGTATTTTCTATCCATAACTTTGTCTGGTAATCATTTTTTACCAATTCGCCAATGCGACATTAGACTAAAATAAAAATGAGCTACTTCACATTTCTTTCACTATATTATGATGGTCCAAAGTATTAAAGTCCTACCATCTCGGTTCCCACTTCTTTTGTTCGTTTTTATCATTGTAGAATATTACCTTTGGCAATCATCGTTGAAGGATCCGTCACTTCGTTGACACGTGTTAACAATCTTGATTTTTCTCAAATTTAACTATCAGGTGAATTTCACTTAATTCAAAACACACTAACTAGTGCAATACTATACAAATTCTAAACGTTTTATACGGGAAACACGAGGAAACAAATTTTTCCTAAAAATCTGATAACTTTCGAATCTATCCGCTTGAAAAAGCAGACTGCTTGAAATTGACGTTGATATTAGCCTCATAAACTTTAATAAACTTTCTGTAACCAAAATTAGAATAAAACGTATTTATCGCAGCGACCTTCCTCGACATTCGTTTGAAAAAGAAAAACCGTTTGGTGATGCTATAAACTTTAAAATTTCATGAGCATGCGACCTAGTCAGTTTATGATACAAGTTTTTGTTATCATCTATTTGCAGTATCTGTGCTATTTGTTGATCCGTTTTCTAGACATCTGAAAAAAATCTATTGAAAAATATCTATCGAGAAAATGTACAACGTGTGTGAAAATTTGACTCCGGAAAGGCCCTGGAATTGTTCTGAGCTTGGTAAAGCACAAATCGTGTCACCCTCCTGCCAGATCTACTGCGTCCAGCTTCGAAACGAGTCGGTTGGTCATCATCGTCTTCACTTTTGTCGCCATCACTGTCGTCCTCACTACTGCTATCATAATCAGCCTCGTCAGAGCCGTTAGCCAAGTTTTTTAGGCGTTGCTCCTCGTTTCGGCATAGAATGAATTTCTCACCATCCTGAACCACCGTTACAATATCTAAAATACACTGAGGTGGGTTGTTGTTGTCTTCATTGCCTACAGTGTATAATAGTGCATCTTCGTATCAAGAAATGGCCCATTGTTCCGGGTCAACTTTTCCAAACAAAAGTCCTGAGTAATTGGTAGTCCTGAGGGACTTTGGCCGAAGGGAGGCGGAAAAGCTTGTAACTGATCGAGAAAATTATCGGAGTGGCAATTTTGCTGCACTGGGGGAGTGGGTGGTGTAAATATGAACTAGTAAAATCAATCTCCAACGGTGTACCCAGTGTACGACTTGACCCTCGTTTGGCGCATTGAGCCAAAGGTTCGCAAATTCAGAAATAATTAACTTTATTGTTTTTTTAGAGGGCACGGTAACGAATCTTGCAATCTGATTGGTTCTCTACACGGTCAGTATTTTCCTATCTCTGCCCACGGGCCACGGTAACGCTTTCGTGAGTCGCCGGGTGCATCCCAACTTTCGTTGTCATTTTTCATAAATATGCCTCGTTTTCCGGCTGGGCAGTATTTTTAAGCAAACACGTCGGTCACTACCTCAAGCCGATAAATAACTTATGAATCCTCTTTTTTATCTCTGTCAAATCACTTTGGTTGACAGAAAAATATTGGTATTCAGAATGAATTTGAAAAACAATATTGTCATTACGTTGGTTGACAAGCGGCCTAAAAACCGTCTGCAATTAATTTTAATCGTTCACAAAAAGTACCCAGAAAGTTGAAACGTGAGGTATTTGGTTACAGTTAAACTGAACGATGGAACTTTCATTCATTTAATATCTGAATTTTCTCGAGCAATTTGTTCATAGTGAAATAGCGAGCGAAGTTTTAATTTAAGTTCTACAACAAATATAGGCTCCCGGTGAGTCTTTCCAATTCCGTTCAATTTGGACATTTGTACCGTAAATTGCACAACAGAAATTGAAGGAATTTTTTGAGAAAAGGCCGCATTACATTCCCTTGTGTCTCGTTGGAGTGTGCCGTTCGAATTTAGTTTTTGTGAAGGAAAGATCAGAGTTAAACACGCCATTACAGCAAACAAACGAGCAAACTCTCACAACTTCAAAATAAAAAAATTGAATTTACTCACAATTACTTTCCTCGCCGTTTACTTAATGAACAGAGGTAAATCTTCGTACATGAATGAATGGTCGATGAGAGTGAATAATACTTTCCGTTAGATCATTGACTGATTTTGAAGAAAATATTGTCGTGACAGTCCTTGTTAAACTAGTTCTGTTGGTTTTCAAATGTTCCTACGCTTTTTTTTTCTTGCGCGCTCTCTAATTGACAGGTGTCAGATTGTGACAGATACTTGTAAAAATAATGTTTCAAAGTTTGTTTGGAAGCCTTTTAAATCACCTTTATCGTTACGGAAATGAAAATGTTTCGCTGAGGCATCTCTCTTTAATTTGCATCACCCCTATTTCAACTACCATTTACTCACTCAAAAATTGTTCAGTTTATGGAAGATCTTGCCGTACTTACGGCTATAAATCCTTCGCGTTCTTTCGGAAAGAATTTCGTCAAGTTTAAAAACAATAAATATGTTATTTACCGGCTAAGGGTCGGTCCGTATGGTGAAAAACTGTGACCTCGGTCTTGAAAATGCTGCCCTCGGCCTACGGCCTCGGGCAGTATTTTCAAGACCTCGGTCACAGTTTTTCACCATACGGACCTCCCAGCCGGCAAATAACATATATGTATCCGTATTGCAGTGACTCATTTAAACCACCTCTCTAGTAAAATCAATCTCCAACGGTGTACCCGGTGTACGACTTGACCCTCGTTTAGCGCATTGAGCCAAAGGTTCGCAAATTCAGAAATAATTAAATTTATCCGTATTGCAGTGACTCATTTAAACCACCTCTCTCTATATGTAAGTCAAGTCGCCTGGTTTTTACCAGTCAGTTTTTTCAACGTACAAATATATTTTTTGGTCTTACTACTGATGTTAAATGCAATCGAAAGTGACGGTTTTCTGTGGAGAGCCTCGAGGCGATTGAAGACCTTGTTTCTGGCGCACAGCTGTTTTCAAACGAGGCATTCATCGTTTTTAGAACCAGCATGTTTACCTAACACGAGGATCCTTCTTTGCAAAGGCACCGAATTCGTGTAACTATGTTGATGATACAAGATATACTGATCAAAGCAATGATTTCTAGTTTTTGCGAGAGCATGTATTTGAGTTATTTTCGTTTTCAATCAAACGCGTGGCAAGATGAGGGTGTGATATTTTTTCTCTCACAAGTCTCACAATGAAGAAGGTGCGAGTTTTTTTTATTTATCTTTTGCAAAAAAAGCAGGTCCTGTTTAAAAGTAAGTCTCTCTCATTAAAAACTATCAGATTTTTACAGCGGATTTTAACAATCTTTGTTAAAAGTAAGGAGCTGTCAACAGCTTCTCCAAATTTTCGTAGAGGGCAGGCGCTGACGCACAGCTGTTTTCTAGCGAAGCACTTACTTTCTGGAACCAACAAGTCGACCTAAGAAGAGGATTCCTGTTTTACAAAAGCACAGAATTCTTGCAACGATGTTGATGACACAAGATGTACTGATCGAGGAAATTATCTCTAGTTTTTGAGAGGACATCTATTTTGAGTTATTCTCGTTTTCAGTCAAACGCGCGGCAAGACGAGAGTGTGATATTTTTTCTCTCACAAGTCTCACAATGAAGAAGGTGCGAGTTTTTTTATTTATCATTTACAAAAAAAGCAGGTCCTGCTTAAAAGTAAGTCTCTCTCATTACATTACTACCAGTTTTACAGCGGATTTTAACAATCTTTGTTAAAAGTAAGGAGCTGTCAACAGCTTATCCAAATTTTTCGCAGAGAGCAGGCGCTGGCGCACAGCTGTTTTCTAATGAGGTGCTGACTTTCTGGAACCAACAAGCCTACCTAAGAAGAGGATTCCTTCATTTAGGTACTTTGAGACTGCTTGAAGTTGAAGTGACCGTTCTACTTTTAAAAAAGGAAAAGCAGATCTTGCTCGTACAAGAATTTTCTAAAAACTGTCAAAACTGAATTCTAGAAATGTTTTTAGAATGAAATACTGCTAAAAGCAAGTTTTTCGAGGTTTTGGCAGAGCGCGTTTGTTATCACTTTTTATTTGTTCCTTTTGTCTTTTACCTTGGGCGTGGCATCCAACGAAGGTGTGATTTTTTTCATCGCTTTAAGATGTGGCGAAGAAGGGCTAACACTCGAAACGTCAGCTTTTTTACTCTTTACGGTGGCCAATTTACATTTTCAACTCAGTTGTTAATACTAAATTACCACCTGTTTTTAATTTTGTCTAGTATTTTCAAAGCGCCTCAACGTTAAATTATCACGATAGGATTTCAATTGAGTTTTTTCCTTTAGGAAATTTTGCACTTGTTTGTGGTTTTGAAAGTTAGTTCTCTAATTTAAAAAGGACTTTCATCAACCTGTCACGTAATTTTAGTTTGAAAACTTGCTCTGGCCTCGAGGAAGTCTTTGAGCAAATACTGACGATTCGTGTCGGAATTTACTATGAATATTTGTACAGCTCCACCTTGCGCGAAAGCCACGATGACCATAATTCACGGACGTCAAGAAAACGCAATACAAACGATCTGCTCAAACCTCAAGGGCTTCAGAGCTACAATACAAATTTAAGTTGACAATGAGGACAAACAGATTAAACAAAATGCGATGTAAATTTACGCTGATATGCCAAATACTAAAAATTTGTTGATAAATATTTTTAACATGACAGTTTTTAATGAGTCGTCGACATTGTAGTTCAAATAAATGTATGTAAATTTATGACTATTTTTTTTTTCGCCATACACACTATCTTGAAATTTGCTTACGTCCTTTTCATATTACTCATAGTTTATTGAATTGTCGTCTGTCTTGTCTCACGCAACGTTAAATCAACACGTAATAATGGCTCGAAATTATTTGAAAAGTTGCTATTCTTGTAAAATCGTTCAATTTTCTTCCTACGGCTTTGTCACCATAAGTTAGACAAAAAGCACAACGTTTTCCGTCCTCATGATAAAATCATCCCGACAATTTGTGCACGATGAAACATTTAGCCGGCTTCACGCACTCCGTAGGAGTTTTAAAACATATTTTAGGCGCACTTTTACCAGAATAAACAGTACATTTTCCCCCATTATTTAACATAGTAAATGTTTTGTTCAAGATGACAGACAAGACAGATACCAGAAGCTGTTTATGTCTTTCTATAAGACACCAAATGACTTCATTAATAAATCATCTCCTATATTTTTCCAGCTTGTCTAATTCTTCGGCGCAAGTTGCTCGAATTTTGAATTCAAGTTACACTTGAAATTGTTTAAGTTCTCATTAGGTGTGATATGCCACTGAAAAACAGCTTAGTAAAACGTCGGAAAAATTGTGTGATTCACATTTCTAGTCATTAAGTCTCTATTGCTTACATATGCAATTGTATTAATCTTAATGCACGGATGGTTTAATTTGAAAACTGTCAAACAATCTTTAGAACTTATGCATGGACGAACTTTTTTCAACAGTCGTTACCTATTTGTTTTGTATCTGAGGCGAAGAACTGAACATAAATTCAAGAAAAAGTTCCAGTAAAGAAGAGTGAAATTGTTTCAAAAAAAGCTTCAAGAGATGGGGTTTTGCCTAAGTTAAAGAGGCTTGCATTTTTCAGGGAACTTATTCAGCGTCGCTTTTAAGGCCCTGTTTACCATTCGAGTTGTTATCAGATAGTTGTCTTTTAACTGTCGACTGGTCTCATTCGCGTTTTCAACGACGTAGAGAGTACTTTATTTAGGCAGGCGATAAATTAAATCGTGCTATTTTTTGCAATTACGTAGAGACCAAACTGTTCGAGTAAAGCTCCTGTGGACTTATTTTCTATCGATTACGACTCATCTTTCGTTAAATGTGTTTTATTGGCGCCTTGAAACGAAGTAAGTACGTGCATATGTATAATATGGAATTAACAATCAAGGAAATACAAGACTAGAAATACAGAATATTGTGGTGAAACTTGTCTTCATCCTGAACTTTTCATCTTACACTTAATGAAGGGTAAATTAGGATT